CTACGCATAAACTAGCATTAAACCCTAGCAGTGTGGGGGGCCTCACTGCAAGGGTAGGTATTTGTTTTCCCAGACGTTTAGCTTTAAACCTTGGCTTCTTACCAAAGACACAATGGTGGCTGGAAATCTGAAAAACATTCCGTTAACACTTCTTAAGCTCTTCCCACCGCTGCCTCCCAGCCCTTTAAGAGGTTCTAAATGCCGGGAGGCGAAGGCGGGCATTCCAATCATGTGACCACTGGGAATGACAGCCACATGATCAGAGAGCTCCCGATCACAGGTATACATTGGGAGCTTTCCAGTACTCATCGGTTACAATGCTGGGAGTACTCTCTCAGCACAGTAACGTGTTTACATAGAGGCACATATATATGCAGCCGTGCGACATTGAAGCCCACCCACGGAGAGACTGCATATATGCGTACTGCCCCAGGAGCTGATTAAGAACCAGACTTGGGCAAACATGAACTTCAAGCAAATTTGCATTACAATTAGACATAAAGCAGGCCATCTCTATTTTAAAGTACATAAGAAATTTTTTTTGGTTGTAATTGTGAACTCCTGTCTCGAAAATCCTGGGCATCCAACTGAGACTTAGCCCTGGTTCACACTGAATGCAACTTTAAAATCGTGCTACCTCACTTGAAGTAACGCAATTTCAAAGCCGTAGATTAGTGCGATTTGTATCTCCAATTTCACTGAGGCTTGCAACTTCATTTACCAGAAGTCAATGCAAGTCGAAATGAAATCGGAAAAAAGTAGCGGAGTAACTATTTTAAAAATCGTGCTACTTAAAATCGCACCGATTAAGACAGTGCCATAGAAATACATTCGATGTGATAAGTGGTCAGGGGCAACTTTATTGTTGCATAGCAAAGGGGTGAACCTTACAAGTAAATCCTTTGTATCATTCTCACACCTTCTGTTCAGTATTGCCTCGCGGTGTGAAAATTGACAAAATTCCCATGAAAAAACCCATCTGGAGTCTTATTTTTGATGCTTAAGCAGTCAGGCTGTATAACAAGCAGCAAATTTAGCTTTCATTTTGTTAAAACATTCAGGTCAGGTTAGCCATAAATACAGATTTTTCTCATTTAGCAAGTGGACTGAATAAGATATGATTCCTCCATCCACGCAAAACAACATGGGTGGAGAAATCTCTGCTGCCAGCTATTGTATCTGATAGGATGCAGTTACTGTTCAGCCAACAATTTCTACTCGGCTTCTTTGATTTCTGTTGAGCTGGGTGGCTCAGACAGGGCCACCCACAGCTTGAATTCTGGCGGATTCAGCAGGAAAGGGGAAATATTCGAGCCATGTATGGCCATCTTGAACTGCACGCTGTGCTGGCACCACTCTGGAGAGCTGGCTACACCGCCTGCAGTCTTCAATGTTGAGTGTAGACCCATGCAGATAACCTGTAGAAGGGTTTTATAAAATCAGAGCTCCTCGCTCTCCAGCGTACTGCCATGCACGTGGTTTCCCAAGACCAGGTTCACATACATGCGTGGCTGGTTTCAGTGTGATTTGTAGGAGTCCAGTTTGGTTTCGTTCAGTGGTTCAGGTGTGAATTTTTTGTGTATGACACTTGAAATCGCACCTATCGGACTGTATCCGCACCTCTTTTTAAAATCACACTGCTGCTGGTCACACATATGTGAACCGGCTCCAGAGATCTGGTTTGGTTCACATGTCACAATATCGGATGTGGTTCAAAACTCATCGCATATATGTGAACCAAGGCTAAGGCTTTATTCATGAAAAAATGTTCTGCATACAATATACAGCCTGACTGAACAGTAAAAACAAAATTTCAGGCATCAACTTTCTTGCAAGTATATTTAACATGCTAAGCACAGCAACCGTCTTTCCAATTACTGCAATCAAAGAATAAACAGTAGGCTTCCATCGGTTTCTGCACCTAGAATTTAAAAAGGAATGTTCTCATAGAAAACAAGTGCAAATATGCAGTAATCCTTAACACCAGCTTCATTAGCATGCCAACTGAACCTTCCGAAAGCTGTATTCCAGCTGACCCATGCTTACTGAACATCGATTTTCGCCCAAAAAGCTTTTAAAATGTCTACTACAACCAAACAGAAATGCCCACCCATGCAACCAAATGACAAGAAACAATGGAAACTTTTCAAAATATTTAATACGTGTCAAACACGTAGAAACGTCATTTTATACAGAAATCCAGGTTACAGCATTGTGCATTAAAAATACTGTAAACTCCCATGGTAATTGCTTCTCGCCAGAAATCCCATCTTCTAAAACAAAGGCGGGAGATCCGGCTAATGTGGACAGAGCTGTATGGATCACAAGCACCAAGTCTGACGGAGCTTTCAACAAATACATATACAATATATAATAGGGCTTCTCGACTCCCTATATTAACAAAGAAACACGTATTCACTTCCTCATGCTTCAACAGTTCAGCAATCGTGTCTGATATTGGGAAGCCAGTACCGGCAATTTTGTCTGTGCACCAAAAACCAAAATGGAAACACTTAAGGTTTGAGGCCAGAATGAGATTTCTGGCTCCTAAGGAAGCGGAAAACTGAAAATAAAATCCACAGCGATTATGAATTAGTTCAAACCGCAGGCCAGCAGGAAAGCGATCCAAGACTGCAGTAAGAGGGATTTACTGAGGAGGGAAAAAAAAAAAAAAAAAAAAACTGGTGCCCGTATAGTCAGTTGTTTGGTATTTTACACAAGTCAGGACATGTAACAGGAAGGAGTGGCTGTGTAAACTAAAATTGCGGGCCCCAGCACACAATGAGTGGGAGAGGGGTAGTGTAAGCAGATGGGAACTTCCCTTCCCCCTCCCTAAATGGGGAACTCCCCATGCACGTGGTGGCCAAAAGACAGAAGTGGGGGATGGGGAGACATTCTTGGAGGGGGAGGGAAGTTACGTGGACAGATGTGAACTGGGGAGGGGGACTCTGGCTCCCAAGTGTGCAGGAATTACTTAGAAGTATAGAAAAAAACATTTCTGGTGCAAGACAAACCACCCACCTCCCATCCACAAAAAAAAAAAAAACCTTTTCATTTTCAGTTGTTAATCCACAACCAATGCCAGGAGAGCACTCATGGCTTTTCTATATAAAATATTAGGTGTAAAAATAAATCTTTGAAGGATCGGTCCACTTTAAACTCGTTTTCTAAACACAAATGTTTTCTCAGGAGGAAATGAAAAGGTGAAATGTTTTGGGGCCCTCTGCTCCCCCCCCCCCTTTCAAAGATTAGACCACAAGGGTAATCCTGGCCGCACCCCCAACAATTTTGACCATTCTCATTTAACCAAACACTCCAAGGTATCCTATTAGCAGCCACTTTTGACAGTAAATTTGCATCTCCTTTGACACACTAAACAGTTGAAATTGCCAAGTGTACAGCCAGCATCAGGCTCATGTCCACACTAGGAATGACAGCCTGAAATATCAGACCTTATCAACTGTGTGGCCAGCATTGGACTCCTCAAGCACCCCAGGCATGAGTCTGATCTATGGGACCCCACCAAGTGTACACCCAGCATCAGGCTCATGTCCACACTAGGAATGACAGCCTGAAATATCAGACCTTATCAACTGTGTGGCCAGCATTGGACCCCTCAAGCACCCCAGGCATGAGTCTGATCTATGGGACCTCACCAAGTGTACACCCAGCATCAGGCTCATGTCCACACTAGGAATGACAGTCTGAAATATCAGACCTTATCAACTGTGTGGCCAGCATTGGACTCCTCAAGCACCCCAGGCATGAGTCTGATCTATGGGACCTCACCAAATGTGTGGCCATCCTCAGACTCCTTAACCACCCCATAGAACAGCATTTGATCTACAAGACCAAGTCCAGTGTGTGGCCAAGGTTGGACCCCTGTAACTACCCCAAGGGATCAGAACCTGATCTACAAGCCCAAGATAAGGCCACCATCAGATTCTTCAACCACCCCAGGTAAGAGTGCTCAATCTACAGGACCAACCCAGTTTGTGACCAGCTTCAAACTAACAAGACCTCACAAGTTTGTGGCCAACACTGCACTCCTGAATCAACGGGAGAGCTAGCCTGATCTACAAGACCTAGCTAAGAGTGGGGCCAGTATTGGACCAGTGACCACCCCAGGTAAGTTCTAACTTAATGTGTGGCCAGCAATGGACCTCTGTCAGAGTGCCTGATCTACACGACCTACCTGTGTGGCGAGTATTGAATCCTTGTGACCACCCAAGGTAAGGACACCTGATCTGAGTTCTAGCTTCGTGTGTGGCCAACATTGGACCTGTGACCACCCAAGGTAAAGATGCCTGATCTAGGAGTTCTAGCTTAGTGTGTGGCCAACATTGGACCTGTGACCACCCCAGGTAAGGATGCCTGATCTAGGAGTTCTAGCTTAGCATGTGGCCAACATTGGACCCATGACAACCCCAGGTAAGAATGCCTGATCTGAGCTCTAGCTTAGCGTGTGGCCAGCATTGGACCCATGACAACCCCAGGTAAGAATGCCTGATCTGAGCTCTAGCTTAGCGTGTGGCCAGCATGGGACCCATGACAACCCCAGGTAAGGACGCCTGATCTGAGTTCTTGCTTAGTGTGTGGCCAGCATTAGACCCCTGTGGCCACCCCAGGTAACCACTATTATACCTAGCTAGGCATGTGCCCACCACGGGTCTCGGGGAGGGGAGTCTGATCTACAAATCCCGTCTCCTCATAGGTCAGCAGTTTTAGGTGGACCGTCCCTTCACCTGCCATGGAAAGGGTTAGCCTGCCCCTGGCACTGGTTAGTGGTAGATCAGGACCATGGCTCCTCGAATCCCCACACATTTGAACGTCCTCGCACGGACTATCGGGCCTGGGACCCACACACATAGAAGACAAGGACATGGCTCCGGGTCAGCTCTGCGGAGATCACCCACCATTGCTCGGAGGGGACCCCCTGGGCGGTCAGTGCTCTGTGGTCCCCCCAGTGTCTATAGGCAGGGGCCCAGTCCTGGCAGTCATCAGAAGGCCTCTATGGCCGTGCTCCATGGGGTGATGTTGGAGCTGATGGCCGGCTCAGTGGCACAGCTCTGTCCGGATGGGGAGTCCAGCTCCTGCACCTCCTGTCCGGGCTCGTCGCCCTCTTCCTCCGCCCCCGCGGTCCCCGGCTCCTTGGTGAGAAGTCCGGAGAAGCTGGAGCCGAAGATGCTGATGAGGTTGGCTACGTTCTCCGTCTCCATCTCCTCCTCGGCCTCCTCCGCCGGTTCCGGCACCTCCTGCTCTCTCTGCTCCCGCCTTGCTCTCTTCAAGGCCGGCCCGTCCGGCGCGCTCCCGCCGCTCCTCTTCCGGCAGCACGGCGGGCTCTGCGGGGGGTCGGTCTCGGCTTCCCGGCTTGGACAGTCTCTGCGGGGCTCCGCCAGCGTGCAGTCCGGGTGTGAGTGACAGGAGCAGCAGGGGAGCCCCCGGGGAGGCGCCCGGCAGAGGCGGGGGGCCGGGCACGGGCAGCTCCGGGAGAGGCGGCTGTCGGTGCGGGCGCACGAGGAGGAGTCTTCGTCCTCCGGGCCGGGACACGAGCAGCTCTCCGGCGCCCGGTAGGTCTGCGGCGCGTAGAGCGGGTAATCTCCGTTCAGCTCGTCGGCCGTCTGGCTCAGGTAGACCTGCTGGGCGCTCCGGAGGACCAGGGAAACCATGAGGTTCTTGTGCAGCTTGATGCCGCCCCGCTGGACCCGGGAGTGGTAGATCTTCCCCAGCGAGATGCTGACGATGCGGTGCGCCTCCAGTCGGAAGCCCAGCCCGGGCGGAGGACTGCTCTCGGCCTCGACTTCGCGCTGCATCTTATAGGCGGCTGGAGCTACCGCGGCTTCGTTGCCCAGCGTTGCTGATCTGTTGTGTAACTAGCGAGAAAAACGCGGCTGCAAGACCCCTCCGTGACCAGGTCCCAGCGCCAACTAAGCGCGGGCGCGCTTCCTCCTCCGCCTTATATAGGTGACACGTCACGGCCCCGGCATCCAATCCCAACGTCGCTCCGACCCTCCCCGCCCTCTTCCGTGCTAAGGCGCCTACTCGCCTTCACGTGATTTCCAGCCAATCGCCTCCCGCTCGGCCAGACATCAGCGTTCGAACGGGACCCGCGCACTGTGCCCTTAAAGAGGCAATGGCCATCCACCGCAGGGCCCACCGAAATGGAATAGCAGATTCACCCTGCGGCTGTCATGATAGATTAGCATTCACGTGACTTTAGGTAACGCTTGCCATTGGAAAATGCTGGGATCTGGTACACTGTATATGTTATGGTGACGTGGAAGGCGTAGTCTAGGCAGGCGGTGCTGGTCACCCTGAGGTCACTGATGGCGCCGCTTTAAGAGGAGCTGTGTTTTGGTCGTGTGTTGGTTCCCAGGCTGATGTAATGCTCTTGTAAGTTTCAGACTCGGTCATGTGACGCCGCTTGAGGTCAGAGAGGCCGCCTGCTTAATTGTCTGTCTGCAGGCCTTCCTATGTGCGCTCATGCACGCACACACATACGTCCTACAGACGGAGCGGGACTGTCACAGAGCCATGGAGGTGTGAGGATCCCGGAGACACGGCGAGTCCCCGACCCTGCTGTACAACACATGCGCCATTGGCAGAGCCCTGTGTACTATGGGGAGGACTAAGCCATGACACCCTGAAGGATAAGTGGACTGTTACGGCTCATTTACACAGGCTTTGGTCTCTGAAGAGCAATCCAGGTTTGGATCACTTTTCAGAGAGGATTTGGTAGGCAGTGGGGGAGCCTTGTCCAGCCCATTGCAGGATTTTGCCAGGTGCTTGCAGAGCAGCTCCATTTATTGGAACAAGTTGTAAGCAAATGGGGGTATAGTTCTACGATTGCTGATTCCTCGGCATGTAAACTAGGTAATGGTTGGGGGGTGGTAAAAGCTCAACCAGGTGTTTCACCTCCCCACCGCCAATAATGTGAATGAGCCCCTAAGTTAACCACTTGTACATGCACTGCGGACGGGTGCTGCGTACAGACACCCTTTTGTAGGACTTGATAAAGCCCAGGTGCCAGGTGGCCATGGCTACTAGAAATTGCCTTATGGTGTCTGGGTTCACACACTGACTCCCATAGACTTCAATGGGAATTTGCACCCCATGGACATCCGCGGCAGAGCGCCTCCCACGGACTTCCGTGGCAGCAGAGCGCCTCCCATGGACTTCCGGCAGGCGCCTCCCACGGACGTTCGCGGCAGCGCCTCCCACGGACGTTCGCGGCACGACGCCTCCCACGGACGTCCGCGGCAAAACCGCGTCCCATGGACTTCAATGGGAAAACTCCTGCCAATAGCAATCCTATGTGAACACTTATCTCCGCATGCCAGTCTATCACTTGAGTCTTGAACGCAGCTCTACAAACCCACACAGGACCCTTTTCGTAATGGCACTCGAAATGCAATGTGTGTGGATCACATCTGTGTGAACCACCTCAATAGGAACACATAATATCTAGTCTGTCATACAAATCTGTGAGTTTCAAAATGAATCCAGAATCACATATGTGTGCACCAAGGCAGCTTCATTCACACCTGGGCAGGGCGTTTTGGGATCGTGACAGAATCACTGTGAATGCAAAACAGGTTCGGGTGCCATTATTTTCAATGACGTGGTGCAGTTTTGCCATGATTGTCACGTGGAAAAATTGCACTGCGTGAAGTTCCACGCGCTGACAGTCCATCCTACACTGAAAAAAACTCCTAACTTTTTTAGCTGGCTCTGAGATTCAAGGGAAAAAAAATGTGCCTGTACATTGCGGCTTTCTTGCAGGTTGAAGGCAGGCATGCGCGCCCCCACCTACCAAACTATCTCCAAGCAGCTTGGTGAGAAGGTGACAACAGTTGGTGCAATCATTCGCAAATGGAAGAAACACAAAACAAGTGTCAGGTCTCCCTAGGTCTGGTGCACCATGCAAGATCTCACACCTCGTGGAGTGTCAATGATCATGAGAACAGTGAGGAATCATTCCAGAACTACACATGAAGATCTTGTCAATGATCTCCAGGCAGCTGGGACCACAGTCACCAAGAAAACAATTGGTAACACACTACGCCGACAAGGATTGAAATCCTGCAGTGCCTGCAAGGTCCCTCTGCTCAAGAAAGCACATGTCCAGGCCCATCTGAAGTTTGCCACTGAACATCTGAATGATGCAGAGGATGACTGGTTGAAAGTGTTCTGGTCAGATGAGACCAAAAATTGAGCTTTTTGACATCAACTCAACTCGTCGTGTTTGGAGAAGGAGGAATGCTGCCTATGACCCCAAGAACACCATCCCAACTGTCAAACATGGCAGTGAAAACCTGCTTTGGGGGTGTTTTTTCTGCTAAGGGGACAGGACAACTTTTTTTTTTTTTTTAAGTCCGCAAACGTGCAAACTACAACGAAAAACCCGTAAGTGATCACAAAAAAATGTGCAAGTGCGAACACCACACGAAAAAGTGCACTTAGGGGTGTGTTTGTCCTACCCCCGAAGGGTTGGACCGTTCACCCCGATCATCCCCGGGGCACGAAGCTCCTGACAGGGACAAGGTTCCCATTTGGTCCTCCTGGCCAAAAGGCCTGGTGGACCACCGTTCCTTATGCCCAGCCGAAGCCGGACATCCAGTACTAGGCAAGGGGGTTCTCCCGAAGAGAAAACCCCCTAGGGATCAGGGGAGGAAGGAACCGTAGGGCCACACATCCTCCCCCTAGACTTCAGGTAAGGCCCGAGGACCCACACACCTCCATCCGTGAAAAACACACACACATAAGAACAGAAAAAGTGACAAAACGTTGGAGTGGTTAAATTAAATAAATAAAAAGTAGTGGTACCGTGCCTAATAGTGCACAGACCAGGCCCTGAGGCCTGTAGCAAAAATTGCCCCGGACTTAGCCAAAAGACCTGGTCCTTAGGGCGCTGTGTGCAAAAAGAAGTGAAAAACGGTGGCCGTGTGTCATCTTCACACCGTGGGGTCCAACACCAAGTGTTACTAGTGACACCCCTGAAGCGTCTTCCCCAGGGGGCACTGAGTTTGTGGACTTTTTGCAGCCCCAGGGCAGACCAAGGTAGATCCGTCCAAATCAGGAGGTACTGGGTCTTTCCAGCTTTCCCAGAGGAATTACTCCCAGGTCCCAGAGCGTATCGTGGCGCCCCCTGGTTTCTGTCCCTCCGGTCCAGCCTTCCGGACCCCCATCATACCAGTGAGGGTACTATACAACAACCATCCCCGCAAAGCTAGAATGGTCGGGAGCACCCCCACTGGACACTGATAAGAACAGATACTACACTTGATCTTAGCCAAAACAGGAAACACAGGACAACTGCTCCGCATCAAAAGAACGATGGACGGGGCAATGTACCATCAAATCTTGGGTGAGAACCTTCTTCCCTCAGCCAGGGCATTGAAAATGGGTCATGGATGGGTGTTCCAGCATGACAATGATCCAAAACACGTCCAGGGCAACAAAGGAGTGGCTCAAGAAGAAGCACATTAAGGTCCTGGAGTGGCCTAGCCAGTCTCCAGACCTTATTCCAATTGAAAATCTGTGGAGGGAGCTGAAAGTTCAAGTTGCCAAACGTCAGCCACCAAACCCTAATGACTTGGAGATGATCTGCCAAGAGGAGTGGGACAAAAATCCCTCCTGAGATGTGTGCAAACCTGATGGCCAACAACAGGAAACATCTGACCTCTGTGATTGCCAACAAGGGATTTGCCACGAAGTACTAAATCATGTTTTGTGAAGGGGATCAAATACTTATTTCCCTCATGAACATGCCAATCAGTGCATAATTTGTTAGACATGCATTTCTTTTGAATTTTTAGTTGCTGTTCTGTCTCACAGTGCTACATTACACCTACCATTCGATTTTTAGACTGATCATTTCTTTGTGAGTGGGCAAACATTCAAAATCTGCAGGGGATCAAATACTTACTTCCGTCACTTTATACTGATAGAAAGCTTCAGTGAACTACCACGGACCTCCACAGCGTCGTGGTAGTTTATTGAAAACAAGCCGACAGCCGCTAAGACTGCCAGGACTTGTAGACATTCATTTACAGAACTCTGTGAATGAGTGACACGGCCATGTGGGCGGAGCCCAGCACGACAATGCTGTTTTCAAATCTGGCAGTATGGGGAGAAGTTTCCCCATACTATCTGTCCGGGGGGGCGCAGCTATGGGAAACATGTTCCAAAGGTGAACTTATCCTTTTAACCCTATGATTGCCCCTAGATGTTAACCCTTTCCCAGCTAGTGTCATTAGTACAGTGAGAATGTATGTTATTAGCACTAACCGCTGTATTATGGCCACTGGTGATGTCTGTCATTTCCCACAAAGGGTCAGATTGCCCGCCGCACTATCATAGTCCCACTATAAGTTGCTAATCACACTGCCATTAGCATTAGCAGTATCTAAAAGAAATAAATCAGAATTCAAGAATATATATGATCGTTTGTAGACACCTTTTTTGTTTACCAAAGACGTAGCAGAATACACTTTGGCCTAAATTTATGAAGAAATTAGATTTCATACCTTTTGATCTTCGTTTATATAATAAACATCCCAATGCTGATCAAATACCACCAAAAGAAAGCTATATTTTGTGTGAAAAAAATGATATACATTTCATTTGGGTACAGAGTTGCATGACTGTGCAATTACTGTAAAGTACCGCAGTGCCGAATGGCAAAAAATGGCCTGCTCCAGAAGGGTAGAACTTTCTGGAGCTGAAGTGGTTAAATCTGACCTATTGCAGTTTCCCTGTGGCCACCTTTGTGTACATACAGTAGGCCATTCATTTTTAAGTGCTGCTGTAC